AAATATGCTCCGGCAATCAAACGAAGAAATGTTGGAAATAATTTATTGGCATTAGGCTGCAATCAGAAGGGACGCAGGTAAACAGGATCACGATGAAACAAATGTCATATCGATAAAATTCTCCCCCAAAGCACACAAATTCAATGGTAACACTACAAAAGACCGATAATGGATCGCTAATCAGCGATCAGGAACGAAAGATTAGGATAAACCGCAAGTTGAGAAGAAACCCCGAAAAAATGCAATCCATGAGGGCGCTGGAGGAGTCTATTTGCAACATTAAATCTCATCGCTGCTAGTGATCTTATCATGATCCCAAAAAATAAATGAAACTCCATTAAAACTACCGAATTTTCGTCGCTTTGGTTGATGAGAGTGACAGAGTACCTTCAGCACGCGAAACTGACCGAACAGTTGCAACACACGGACGAGATAAAGAAAGAACAAACGGGTTTGCAGATTCGTCGTGGATACCTCAGACTGCGGAAAACCAAACAAGCCTTTTGTATAACAGATGATATTACAGCAGGATACGCCTAAACTCCATGTCGCACACATAACCGGGAGTGAAGCAGTCAGTTAAACTCTTTGATAGCATTCTACACTTTGAAATTAAAGGGGCACCATTAATCACACCGACCAAAAAATGTTTTCAAACAAGATTGTCTGCGCCAAACGATGGACCAATCAGCACAAAAGCCGGACATACGACTCGGTAACAGGCCAACAAGAGACAACCCATCTACACCTCCATCCTTCCAGACGGACGAGTAGTGAAAAACGGACAGATAACTGATCAGTCGATCGATCGCTGGTCTACCTGAATGGATAATTCTGAGCTCTGGTGATATTACCATGTGAATGGAAACGAAGTGTCTGTAATCCAATTACCCGAGTTGTGGAACAAGCCAAAAACGATAAATCAATCAAACACTCGAATCGATGCATGTTACACGACTGTATCAACTAACGGATTGAATGCAACACATTCTTGTGAACAATGCAACACGCCTCAGGACGAAAAAAATTGATGGCACTTGATTTATGTAGCAGTGACATTTATAAATGATTCACAATTTAGGATTGACGATATTCCGGAAAGGAATGCGCCGTGCAAGCAACAAGAGGGAAGGAAACTGAAAAGCCGAAACACGATTACACAACCATTTTTCAGTCTATGCAATCATTGACTCTGTTTTTTTCCGATTGATCCCTAGATTTCAAAGAAAGTGGGTAAAAGTATCGATATCTAATCGGTCAAAGAGCAACGAAACAGGACGCTTGCACTTGTCATATCACACAGATATGGTGAGAGTAACGTAGCACGGTAGACCGTTAGGAATCCATAAGGGTAATACCCAGTCAGTAAAATGCTGTCCCATCCACATTCTGCCTGTCTCATTGAGTGCGTGAGGATAAGGGCCGATCCTGAGCAGCGGATTGTCAACCAACGCATCAACAAACAACACACTGAACCGGAACCCAAAGGTCTTGCGTGACAGGTGTCTAGAGGCTCCCAGTTACTCCGTTTACGCTTCCGTGTTGGATCTAAGCCCCACTGCCTTGTGTCAAACTATTAAGTCAAAGGCTCCAAAAGAAAAAAAACTTTCGTCGGTGTGGGTTAGAGCGAAGTATATCATGCTCTCAAGTCTTAGGCACTCATTTGGGAAACTCTCTCTCCCTTCTGTTTAGTCCTTCGGCTCACTTCAAAATCTCAGGAGATACAACCTGCTTCTGCAATTCTCGTAAACTCACTCAGCATTCAACTAGTAGGGTTAAACAAACCGAATTAATTAGGTTGGTGAAACAAAAATCTCCTTTACACTTAACCCAATTTAATTCCGCACACTATCAGATCGGCCAAGGAGATGACTTAGCTAAAACCTCTGAACCTTTCAATTTTGACTTATGGTGTATCTTCGAAACACGCATTCAAGAACTCACTTCAATTATTACGTGAGTTGCCCTGACATAACCGCACCTAAGGATTCAGGCATTTCGGCATCTGAGGCTCGCGGTGTTGTCGGTGTCAAAATTGAGCTCAGTACTGAGGCCTGAACGCTCGTTTCTTGCCTAGACTGCAGTCAGTAGACGACTGTGCGCTGTACGTCTCGACGGCTCAGTACGGGTCAACGGCTACGGAACAAAGCGGCGGTACTTACTCATCATGCCCGTGTATGCAATGACTGACTGCACTGAAATGAAGGATGAATTATACAAGGACACTTCCCAATTACTCCAAATTATTGACCCGACGGATATAGTGAAGTCAATGGTGAATTCCATGAGTTCAATGGATCTTGAAAGAATATGAAAGATTTCTTGGTGGCCCACATGCCAACAGAAAGGACAAAGGAGATTGCCTACTTCAGTCTGTTCCTCTCAAGCAACTTCTCCCACAAGAAAGGACATCGCCTCACATGAAAAGCGCCCAAATCTTCACAGCGAAGGACTCCGATCGATCACATTGCCATCAGCTGCTGCTGGCGGGATCAATTCAACGCTGTCTCTCTCACTAATCAGTATACGTGGGCACGGACTACACTTTGCTACGAGCAACAATCTTTCTACACAAGGTAAATGTCCATAACAAAGAGGCCAGGAACGGATGCCCATAAAGCCATGCAAGCGATAGTTACAAATCGGTCTTCGAAGCGGAACTCTCCGATCGCCTCTCTGTTCAACCAACTGCCGAATGACTCAATGAAAACTAAACGTTAATCAAACAAGCTACCCAAATGTCGATCACAACAACGGTGGTTTCTTGCTCATAAACAAAGCGCAAACGATGAAACTCATCTACCTCGATTACCTTGCTGAACGGCCGCAGAACCATTCCTGCTGGTGCAAAATATGACGCAGCGTACAGATTCCGTAAACACTAGTTACTCAAAAGTTTGAGGAATGACTGTGATGTTTGCATAGTTAGGTAGTGGACGGAAAAAAGTCAAGGGTGGTCAAAGGGTGGCACGAAGGTATAGAAACCCTAATCAGAAGACCCGATCATTTAGGTAGTTTGAGGCTCCCTGGATGCCCCCATCCCGGGATCATCGTAACCGGTGGTTAGAGACACCGAGTGATAACGTTGAGCGTCACAAACAGTGGCGCTCTTGTATCTATTCCTTATCCTTTCAACCCTGATTTATACGAATTCCTTATCTTATCTTTGACTGTGCTCTCGATATTTTATCTTCTTTCTGCTCTTTTATTCAAATATGTAGGCAGCCAAAAGACAACAACTAGAACCGTCGCATGAAGGAGTATGTTTATTGGTTGTAAAAAATGAAACCAATCTTCCCATGCGGTACGTTAACTCGCCGAGATCTCTAGACGTTGGGTTATCCTCAACCTCAGTAGACTCGTGTGTCCAATGGCTTGCCACAGTGTGGCCGTTAATGCATATCTCAGCTAAATGGAGCCACCGATGAGGTGAGCGAGAGAGAAGATATGAAATCTGTCAAAAGGGATACGACAGACTACCCCACAGAGGTGCTACTTCCACTGTATATTCCTTGCTGTATTCAGTGGATGCACGCGTGATCCTCCAACTACCCAAAGAGAATGAAGCAGCTGCACCGTGTTTTTCAGTTTTTTCCCTTGATGTTCACACTGTTAATCACACAAGTATATTTTAAGATTATATATTTCTGGTAGGTTGTCTTAAGCACTAACTATGTGTACACATATGCATATATAAATCACTTGAGGTCTGCGCGGTGTAGTCACTCGAAGTAAACATGATGTGTAAAGAACCGTTAGGCTAAGTTAGTTTTGCATTAAAACTGGTTCACTGAATACATATTTATAGCATACATATAGTCAATACAACAGATTTAACTCTTTTTTATCATACATCACTGTGTGGTGATCAGCAGACATGGCGAACCCCATAGTCAAGAAGACCTACTGATCAGCGACGGTAACCGGCAACCTAAGCCCCGGGACTTGGAGTGGCGAACCACACAAGGCCCCGCTAGGTGGTATTGAACCGGAATACAGCAAAGATGCCTATCACCACTGACCGACCGACATTCGATCAGTATGAATAGAAAAAATGATTATCTTCTGCTATTTTTATTCGACAAGTCATTGTACGGCGTAATACAGTGAAGCAAACTGTATTCGACGATTCGGATTACAATGAGATTCTATAATTTCATCTTTTGTGAAACGATACTGACTTAGACAATTAGGCATTTTTGTATATCCCATATGTATAATCAGGTCTAGTTTTTTTTAACCATTAACCTTGAACTGTTGTTCTACTGTTTTTGGTTTCTGTCTACCAGTTCAGTTCAGTCCAGTTCTTACAACTATTAACCATGCACTTTCGTGCACCGATTTTAGTTTCTTTCTCCAGGTTGCCCGTTTGGATAAAACGGCAGAATGAAGATTGGAATCTCAGTTGAAGGTATGACCATCGGCTGACTCAATAGCTGATTTCAATTGCCGAACAAATTGGCAGAATCGGATGGTTATCTCTTGAGGGCACAGATCCACACGCGACATGGTGGACGAAACGAAATAGGATGATCGAAATGAATAACACCTCAAGCACAAAGATCGGTACAAACGACGAGTGCCCGAAAAACTGCACTCAACACGTTTTCCTGTGTGATATTGCGTAACGGACGATAAACGGAGTCTGGAGATCACCTCGTATCCGCTGAAGCCAATGGTTCTACCAGACAAGTCATTTCGCACATAACAGTTACAAAGCTTCTCGAACGACTTATGGGCACTTACCGGTGTGTCTGTCAGAAATTTCCCATTTCTGGAGTCTGCGTCAATCCCGCGGCTGCTACTATTCACATAGCTCTTTGTTCTCTTCTCGGACATGTCAAATGACGCTTTTCAACCACAGGTAATAGATTATTCTCTCAGGAGATTGGAAATGGGGCATATTTGTCCAAATGAAATGATTTCACCATTTACTTATTTCACTTCATTTATTATATGCAATGAGTGACACGGTGGTGACGCATGAAACGTTAGGCAATTTATCCAAAAGCGTTCTCCGCGGATTTCAAGCTATTTGGAGATAGAATTAATGAAACAACTTCAACACCACAAAAGTATTACTATCCACTGGTTATTAATTGTGGCGACTTTTAAACCATCGAGAACTGACAAGCCATGGAATGCTTAAAAGATAGTCAATCCCTAACGGTTATGGCTAACCAAAGATTGTGGAGTGATTCATTATTAATATCACAGCATACACTTACTTTTGGCGCCACTGACCGGCCAAAAGTCGTTGATATCTACGCTGAATCCAAGTGATCATCTCTGATAAACCAGCAGTGGGAAAGCCGAGACTGAGCATGGTTCGACTGAACAGGATGGAATAGTCTTTCAATCGAATCAGATCCTCCGCAGATTGACATGCGCCGGCATTTGACCGAGCGAATTCCACGAGTCGCTCGACCGTACTTCCCCAAAGCTCATCCAAATAGGTTTGATAGAAGGCGGAAGAGCCGGGTAGAGTGTGTCTCAGATAGTCGTCGACCACGAAGAAGCCACATACAGACCCGAAGAATTCCCCGTAATTACGTAGATTCGCCTGCGTACAGGAACGACAGAGCAATAAGGAATTAAAAGATAATTTAGCAAAATGATTTTCGTTCATCCACACAACACCTGTACAACGTGTGTATAAATGATAACTCTTTTGATCCCGACTGAATTATCCTCTACGCTAAACCGCTAGTGACGCACTTCGCCGAAACTTGGATGCAGGATTTTGTTAAGGTCAAAATAGCTATCATTCTTGACAACTATGTAAAAAATAAACCAAAGCAGTTACTTTGTTTTTAGCCTAAATCGGCGCAAAGACAACGTTGGATAGGATGCTATCAGAAAACCGTTTATTTATCAGTGACTTTTGAGCCCCAATTCTTATTCCAAGTTTGTGCTTTGGCCGTCACCTGTGCCTCTCCCGTATGCACTTCAGATGTTCCGATTACAGATGCTGCAATTGGTGGCCACGTTTCTCGGGACAGCAACGAACCCATATCAACATCGTTAAGCCACAAGTGGGAGCATTGAATACAATACAAGATCGTGCTGGGGCCCTCACCCAAAACACCATTATACATTGGTTTGCACCAAACTGTCCATGTGATTGCATAACCATTCCAAATGCACAAGCTATCCCAAACAGCTTACCTAACCCCCTTAAAAAGTGTGCTAATTGAAATACTAGAACTGCCCCCCCCCTCCCACCTTGATAACATCAATCGGTACTCCTCACTCATCAAGAATGCTCTGTATACTCCTGATTTAGCGAGCTGTGTTCTGAAACGTAGTGTTGATACCCTGGGTTTTAGTTGAGTCTCCCAGATTGCTGGAAGCATACCAATCAATTCAGGTCGGCAGTAGGTATAACGAGAAAAACGACTCGGAACAAGATGTGAATTCGACACCAGCCCAAGCCGGGATTGTAGAATCCGATGGTTTCAACGCGTATTGGACATGAGACTGGCTGCCACCATGGGAAACGCCCGTAAGGTGTTTCATCTTACCTGGGTCATTGATAGGAAAGCAATAGGTGTGACCGAAGGGATGGTGAGGCTGATAGCTCGCCTAGCCACAAACAACAGCGTCTCTGGGCGGAGCAGTATGGGATATAATGTATCCTGCCATCAGATCTAGCTTCTCTTATAGCTATTCCGGCACACGTCCGATGGTCGATTCCGTCAGACCCACCTTTGAGGCGGAAATCCGCATTCACATCCGATAGTTACTAGAACAAAGTGAAACGTAACAGAATACTAAGAAATTTTCTGTATTCAAGCACCGATGTCTTCGATGACTTCGTACTTGATGGCAACATAGATTGAGTGTTGTTGAGGTTCATCGTAGTATGTTGAGTGCTGAGATTCGCTCTTTCAGCGAGGAAATCACTCTACATTGCCCCTGATGATATGACGTTTTGGGTACGGCTACTCGTAATCTTCCACTCCTACTTTCTTTGCAAGTGGTGAACAAGGCTCGAAGAAGCGCCCCGATGGCCAGATGGTAACCTGGAGTTCAGGCATAAAGAATTTTAAATCATGAACTATGCCCCTTGATTAGGAACACAATGCAGGTGAACATATGTTTTCGGTGAACTCCTTTTCGAGCCTTTATAATCACATATATGAAACCAATTCAATAGGGTCAAACAGAAATGTGCATGAGTCATGTGTTTGGCAATGAGCCCAAGAGAACTTCAAATGTGCGCGCTGTTTGGATTACGTAACCAAAAGCTGCTATGCTACATCAAG